TTTAGATAAACACAACAAAGGCCAGCCTCCTCAAGGTGATATCCGACAATCCATGATTTCTCAATCCTCCTCTTCTGGTAGTCTCGGTAGTTGGAACTATGACGCTGCCAGAGCCAGGAAATGCGTAATCAGGTTTATCATTCTTAAAAACCTTCCTTTTAAATTAGTAGAAGATGATGAATTTGAAGATATGTTTAGAGATGGTTTTTATCCTGCATTTAAAAAATTTTCTCGTCAAACCTGTCAACGTGATATTTTAAAATATTATCAGCAAGAACAAGAAAAAATAATTTCTTATTTTAAAAATTTAAACTGTAAATTTTCTTTAACTTCTGATATTTGGACATCTAGAGCACAAACTGGATATTTATGTATCACAGCACACTGGATTGATGAAAATTGGCAAATGTTTAAAAGAGTTGTTTCTTTTATTGCAATAGAAGAGTCACATACTGGTGCTAATGTTGCAAATTTAATAATTGAAGAACTTATGAAATTAGAAATTTCACAAAGAATATTTTCTCTTTCACTAGATAATGCAAGTAATAACAATGTAGCTGTTGATTTTATCAGATCATCTTTATCATTGCCATGTCATGGTGATCTTTTTCATATTAGGTGCATCTGTCATATTTTAAATTTAATTGTTCAAAGTGCATTTACTGAAATTAAACCCATGATAGAAAAGGTTAGAACAGTTGCTTACATGCATAGTGCTTCTGAACAAAGACTTAAAAGATGGAAACAATTTTGTAAAAGAAAAAATGTAAAGCCTAGACTAATTCCAAAAGATGTTGACCATAGGTGGAATTCCACATATGCAATGTTAAGTGTAGCAATAGAATATAAAGACATTATAACTGATTTTATAAACTATTATGCTTCTAGTTCTAGTTCTGGTAGCACTTATGGAATAACTGAAGATGAATGGACAGTTATATGTAATTTAAATGAAATGTTACAAGTTTTTTATGATGCTACCATGTTATTATCTGGCTGTTATTATCCAACCATTACTTTAGCTGCTTTACAAATTTTAAATATTCAAAATTTTTTTGATAAATATCGTTTGGATGCTACTTTTGGACCTATGGTTTTTGAAATGGAGAGCAAATTTAATAAGTACTTTAGGCCTATTCCTCATATTTTTGGTTTGGGGGTTCTTATTGATCCATGCTTGAAGGATATTGGCCTTCGAAGTTTGTTACAGTCATTGTATGGTGGACAGGTTATAGACTTAGATGATGGAACCACCCTGAATGCTACTACTCATCATTTACTTATTAGAAATTATTTTCAAACCTTATATGATGAGTATGCAGCTAGACATGGTGTAGCTGCACAACAGTCTGCAGCTTCAGTTTCTTCGAGCTCATCCCGAGCCCGAGGTAAAAGTGTAAGTTTTGATAGGTATGCAATGGTAGCCGAGCTAACTGGTGGATCTGGACTTGGATCGTCATCATCGGAGGTTTCTGAAATAGATGAATATTTTTCTGCTTCTTTAGTTAGATGTCAAGGAAATGCTTTAGATATTTTGCAATGGTGGAAAGTATATGGATCAGTTTCATATCCTATACTTTCCACCATGGTTCGTGACTTACTAACAGTGCAGGTTTCGACGGTAGCTTCGGAATCCGCCTTCAGCACAGCAGGTCGTTTGATCGACGATCACAGGACATGCTTGGATCCGTATACTATACAAGCGGTGATGTGCCTACAAGATTGGTGGAGGTACGAGAAGCGAACGCAAGGCATCGATCGGATGGCTGGAATTGAAGATAAATTTGAAGAATTGGGACTAGCAGATAGATATAAAGAATAGATTGTAGTTTTTATATCTTAGCTTAAAATTTGTAAAGAATTATTTTGGAAATAATTACAAATGATAGTGATATAGGTGAGTAGGTGCCAACCTAGTTGGGATTTACTTATCTATTGTGATGCGATTAATTCCAAAATAAATTTGTACTTGTAATTTGTAAATGATTTATTAATTATTAATAAAGAATTTGTTTTTATCATTTTTTATTTGTAATTTATGTCATTTTAAGTAATTAATAAAATTATTTAAGTAATTAATAAAATTATTGTTTTTTATTATTTTTCTTGTCTTTTTTAATAATTTATAATTTAAATAACATTAAAAAAATATGGAAAAAAAAAAAAAAAAAAAGAAAATCACTCGGGCCAGCCCGAAACCCGGCCCGGGCCCGGGCCCGGACCCGGCCCTGGGTACCCGGGCCCGGGTCCGGGTCCCGGTTTTGCCCGGCCCGGGCCCGGATTTCCGGGCCGGGCCGGCCCGGATGTACAGGCCTAGATCTCGATGAGCTTGATTGTCGTCGATCCCTCAAATTTATAACATGAAGCATGTCCCACTATTCGAATATGGGCATCGTAATACGGTTGTACAAATATTTTTATTGAATCCTGATTCATTCACCCTATAAGATAATGTGCCAAGGATACATCGCACGAATATATCAGCGTAATCACCATGCAATTAACACATATAATTTTTTTATTGTCTTTCTTTAGATGGTGTGTGGGGTGAATATACTAGATTCCTTTTCAATGTTCCCTCAAACGAAAATAATAATAATAATAATAATAATAATTCCTTTTTGGGCAAACTTTAAAATATCAGGTCATACTAATCTCGATACACAAGTATCATATATGACGTATACATGTGTGTACATACAATCTTACAAAGTTACGAACATAGGTACATCATGAGAATGATAACAAAATAATATTTTGTTACATGTCTATTATAGATTGTAATTCATTTCTGAATTAATTATGAAATCTTCCCTGTATTCTTATTAACAAAACAATAGATGATTACTGTAGACTGTCTAAAAATTACTGCAGATAGCTGATCTTCATCAAACACTGATGATGAAAGCTGAAAGTTTTCACGTAGATCGATGGAAGCTCTAATTCAACAGCCTTTACAATCAACATCGGGAGTTACAATCTGACGACTCTCTTATTTTCAAGGAGCCAAGACGAAGGTTACAAGATGATGATCTTTGCAACGCTCTAGCAAAAGAGACTACAAATTAACGGCCTCTTCAAATTAAAACGCGGATATCTCTCAAACCGTAAGGAATTTGGCGAAACGAACGGAAGCAAACCTAACCCTATGGGTAGGTTTGGTCGGCTCCGTCTTGTCGAGATAGTCGATTTTCATATATAATTCGTCCAATTCCGACTTACGATTTGAAAGTTATGACATGTTCTTCGCAGCAAGTTATGTTCTGAAGTCTGTCTACAAGACTGTACTTCGTTAGAACATTAGACTTAGCCTGAAGATCGCCAAGCTCGCTTGAGGCTCGCCTCTGCGTTCCAGAGTTAAAACGCAAAGTTCATCTCTGCGTCCCAACAACAAAACACAGAGTTCGTGGCTGCATTCCAGACTCAAAACGCAGAGTTCGTGGCTGCGTTCCAGACTCAAAACGCAGAGTTCGTGGCTGCGTTCCAGACTCAAAACGCAGAGTTCGTGGCTGCGTTTTCAGGCTCAAATGCAGAGCCCAACTCGACATCCTAGGTCCAGAATGCAGAATTCGTGTCCAGAACGTAATTCTTGCATTTGACTCGTTCAAACACGATCTGAACGGTTTCAAAACTATTTTTCACGATTTGAGGGGATCACTCCCCTACTTATGAGCGAATTAAGGGGGCAGTTACACCCCTTAATCCCCTATAAATGACAAAAAACTCAACTGAGTTCGGGATCTCCAATCGGATCGATTTTTTGCATCCACCATATCGCATAAAGAGAGATCAACATTTTGTGTTCTTGGAGATCTTGGAGCGTCCTTTCAGCAACAAAGGTCTTGGAGCTTGGTGCTTGGCTTAAAAACCGATTTTCGGTTCAAATCAACTATTTTATAGGGTTTTAAACTCGTTCTGAGTTCCTAAACTTGTCAAGAGTTCTGTTCAACTTGCCACGCAAGTTCTGTTCAACTTGCCACGCAAGTTCTCCACGACATCAAATCTGAGAGGAATAGACTTTGTTCCAACGAGGTGAAACGTCGGATCGTCAATGAGAAGCAAACTCGACACGAGTTTCGAGGGAGGCATCTCATCGATACCAAAAAGAACCTAGTTTAAAACAAATGGAAGGATCTCCGTCGATTCCTTCTCTCTTTTGTAAATCGGGAATCCGATACAAGAAGATTGTAATTTCTTTTTCTAAGTTTGTTAGAGAGGGATTGCATTGAAAGAATTGTAAATCATTCTTTTTCTAAGTCAGTTACAGAGAATAATACAAATTCATTTTCTTAATTTTTTCTTTCGATTTTCCCACCAAACAGTGATTATCGATGGTACCATTGTAGCTATCGATGATGTCGATTCTGATTTCTAGATTTCTTCGATTGATGACTGTAAACATTGATGGTTCCCTATGACCATCGATGAGTCATTGTTGACCATCGATGGTGCCAACTGTTGTTTTTGTTTTTCTCCGACTGGCTCTTACAACCATCGGTGAGATACTTGACCATCTATGGATGCCTCTTGACCATCAATTGTTCGAAGACTAAAATCGACGTTCGTATTAGTTTTTGCATCGTTTCGAACCGCATCTTGCTCATACCTATTTATACTTAAAATATCACTTCACAAAACATATTAGAAGCAATTGAGAATTTGTTATTAATCAAACAAGAGGATGTTTATTCGAACAACGTTCTCACGATCGTTCTAACACTATGGGCCGGGGCAAATTGGCAATGTCAGCACTCAAATTTAAAATGAACAATAAATTGCCCTCAATCTAATAAAGTCATTCGCAAGGCCTGCAAGGGTATTTAATAAGCCCATATGTGCTACGCAGCAAGCTATATATCACGTATAATTTTAAGTATTTTAATTATTTTATCAACCTTTAATGATTATAAGAGATCAAAGTGTCGTCGCCTTCTGGGAAGTTTTTTGTTATCTTTCATGTTTTAATTATACTAGTTGGATTGCACGTGCAATGCACGTGGTAAATTTTTAAATAAATTTCATTAGCAAACAAATATCATGTGAATATGTTCCAAGAGTAATATAACAGGACCAACCACCACGAGTAACAAATGAGAAACATATTCATATACACACTAACATAGCAATTAATGTCATGTACACTTCAGCTTCACCAGCCAAAAAAATTCATGGAACGGCTTAAGGATGAAAGACATTGTGGCAAGAGCTGCCTGCAAGCAACATACTTCGTTCAACTGTCTGATATCTAGTGACAGTAAAATTGTAGTTACTTCCATGTAACAATATGAAAGGATGAAAGGCATATGTTTATATTAATGAACAAAATCTGGTACTAAGAAAGTTAACTTAAAGCACATGTCCAGATAAACTGTATTGATATATAGTGTGAACCGAGTAGCATAAACTATAACTTATTGGCATTTGAGGCTATGGAAGACAAGTGCATATTGCAGAGTACAACCTTCAAGATGGTGACATAAGGATATGATATCACATTCAACCTTTCAAAGTTCAATACGTATCACCTACCTTTAAAATAATGTGGCCAACCTCCTATGAAGTGTATAACCAAATACTTAAATTTTCTACTTCATTGTTTTGTTGACCCAAATTAACTCTTGAAACTTCAGCATATGTATGATGATTTTTGTCTCCATTTACAAGAATATCCAAAAAGAAAAAAAAAGAAAAAAACGGAAATTGTTCAGAACAAAAGCATACCATCTAATTATTTCTTGTTAAAGGCAAACTTTCCAGCAAACTAATATTATGCACCCTTGGAGAAAATGAATTACATTAACACTGGGGGTGCTTATAAGTATATTAAATTCTTTATGTTCGAGTGGAATGTATTTGCACTGGCTCGAGGAGACTATAAAAATTTCTCAGCACCAAGATATAGTTCCTTTTGGCCTATGTAGATTCAATTCATATCTCCTGAATCAAGAATCTTAATCTGAAAATTTCGTATCGTAAAAACCAACTTCAATCCATATGATAATTTTGCTACTGTTTTTTATAGATAAATTGTGACATCATGAAAATACATTTCGGAAAAATTAGATACACAACAGAAGCAGGAAGACAGTCATTAGGCATATCAAGGATTTGACTTGAATGAACTGAATTTATGTTCTGATGGATTTACTTTTAACCAATGAAATACTAAAAATTCAAATACCCCTGCTTATTATTATATTTGTACCCAATTTTGTTAGAACCCCATATGAATTTATCTCAGGCAAGTACAGGCCATAACAGGTAATGTGACTTTTGCTAGAACAAAATGTGTTACCCATCCATGGTATCTATCCTCTAGAAGATATATGTACTCAACTGAAATTGGTTTTTACAATGTGCTATGAACTTATTTAATAAATAAAATAACTTTTTATTTAGAAAATTATGAAATTTAGTACGCTTTTACCTCAGAGTCACTAATTTCACCCAATGGCAAGAATTGAAGAATTTCCCCAAGGGTAAAGTAGTTGAAAAAATTTAACCTGGGGGTTTTCACCCACAACAATGAAACTACAGGGATATTAAGTGCGAAATGAGGATACTTCAGGGTCTATGTGCAATTTAACGAAGATTACATAAAGCTGAAGTATGACCAATTGGATTCCTTATTTGATAAAATATTTGACTACTTTCATTTATTATTGTACTTATCTAACTTTTTCTTCCATGTTATCTTTGAATATTTATGGTTTGTTAAATGTAATTCCTTATATTACAACCAAATACTATCCATGGAAACATACCGTATAAATGAAGTTGTATCCAAGCTTGAGAACATGTCCAAGTAGACTGATCCTCTGCCACATCACTTTGTCAAGTTCCTCATTTGTAGACTGCTGCTCCTTAAAGAAATCAATTCCCTTGACGACAAGCCGATGACAATGGAGGTTTAGTAGCTTGCATCGATCGAAGTCTACTTTATCGATTGCCATAAAGAGGAAGTGCCTGATGAAGGAGTTGATATCCGTAGTGTGCTGAAGGCTCTGAAGAAAGAGGTCTAGAATGCCGTTATTCTCCGAATATTCTTTGCTCAGTACACTGATAATCAAGGTCTTGTTCTGCATCGTAGTCTTTTCTATGTTTTTCCGTAGCTCGAGTTTGGAGACATATTTCTGGTTACAAGCAGTGCACTGGTTAGATGAGTTCACTGCAGATATATTGATTCTATTAATTAACCTTTTATCTATTTAAGATGATTTATGATTAGATTTCATTTATCTAGTTTTGTAGCAGTGAAAACATTCTTATTGATTAACGACATGCTTAAGTGTGCTTTCCAGTTTAAATTGCAGAAATCATTTTCCTCCTTATTTGAAGTTGCTTGTGCTTCTATGTATGTGTTAAATAGAAGAAATCCATAATATCTTATGTATTTGTATTTGAATAGCAGAATTCCTTTCTCTTCTGAATTATGATTTTGTGCGAGTGTCTTCAGTAATGGATCAAGTAGTAGAATTCCTGTGCGCGTACGCGCCATTTATATGTTCCAATAGAAGGAATCATTTTCTCACCTATTGAAGGTATTTTTTTGTGTCTTTGTGTGCGTATGATCTCCCCTCTCATGTGTGTAAAATAGTAGAAATCTTTTATGGATGTACATGGTTGTGTGTATGTGTGGGTGTCTGTGTTTGTATGAGAGTTTGTGAATTTTTTTCCAACGTCTATGAACTGGGAAGCAGTTGTGAAAATACTAAGATTTCTTAGGGGGTAGATTCCTCAAATATGGATTATTTAGGGGTAAATATATAAGAAAACTCTTTTTGCGAACATGACTTCAACTAAGAATAAATACATAAAAAAACTATGTAGACGAACAAAGTTTCGAACTTCATTTTGATATTTACCTGCCATGACTTAGAGCAACCTTCATGTGCAGGCCATGTAGCGTTCAACGTGCCATTAGACCTCTTCCACACATCCAAGGCTTCAGCGAGATCAGCGAGCTTTGCCTTCACAATTTGGCAACAGTTAGCATGGACGGTCCTCACCTCTCGAAAATCCCTGCTATCTTCACAAAACCCACTGAACTGAAGAGTATCCAAGAACCTGACTGACATATATAACCGACAAAGGTGCCATTATTTTTCATTTCAATGAGCACATCTTGTTCTTTCCTACCATTGTGGCAACATGATGCTGGTGGTTCGTGTTCAAACTTTTTTGCTCCACAAAATGAACAAGACTTTGGAGTGCGTAGTTTATGTAATAAAGAACATACTGGTTCATGGTTAATTTGACCTAGAAAAAAATAATATTTTTAGTGTTAATTAAATTTAGATATATAAAATCATGTGATTATTTTAATAAATTATAAAATTAATCTATGCAAACCTCCATGCTCATATTCCCGCTGTTGCGCTCCACAAAACAAATCAATCTTACGTTTTTGCTTGCTATTGATACTACTGCAAGAAAAATCATTCCTTTTCCTCTTTCTATTATTATCAATGACCTTCTGAATGTAAGTTCTCTTCTGATCAACATTCAACTGATTATATTTGATGTTTCTACGCTCATGTATTAGAATGTGTTCTTCTGTTAAAAAATAATGAAATATACTATTAATAAACATAAATACACATAAAACAATAATAATATATATTTATTTATGTTGAATTCAAACCTTGGTTTGAAGTCATTTGGAAGAAGGTACTCTTATGCAAATGTATAGTGATTATGCAATCCAAGAAGTAGAATGTAAATTTCTACAATGAAAAGAAAATTTAATGTGTTAAATTTTTTATTTTATTTAACATAAGTATAGCAATGAATATAATTTTAGAGAATAAGTATATTTTAATTGATGTTCAATAGTATGTAAGGTTTTTTTTGGAAAAATTTGGTACACTATACATGCATCAGTAATCACAAATATCTCATATGCTAAGGTTAATTCTGTTTTTTGAAGTCATATAATAAGAATAAGATTTTTTTCATATTTAAGTGAAGAAGAAGATTAAAACAAGGAAATAGAGTTACCATCACTATGAATAATATAAAGAGAAAAGAGAAGAAAGTTGCTTAACTCACATGAATCACCGACAAATTTAGAAATGTTTTCAAAAAAAAACAAGGCAAATCCAACCAAGTAGAATATCTGCATTAATATGAAAAAATTCAACTATTAACTCACCTGAATCACCTGAATCACCGACAACTATTAACTCATCAACATGGAAGCACAAGTACAAATGTTATACTAAATTCAACGAATTTCTAATAATGAAACAGGAAATAAGAAAGATACAATCAGAGATTGATGGAATTTCTATTATGTCTATGATTGTATTTATGTCCCGTGTCTGCGTAATATGATTAGATTATAGAAGTTCCAAGTCTAAAAGAGTTGCATTTTCCTACCTTTCCAAGTCTTAATTCAATATTTTGCTTTGGTTATCTGATCTTGAGGTTGTGGTTCTCTCTTCTTTATTTCTGTTTATAGTTCATGCAAATAAGTAATTTGACTACTGTGCAAACTTAAATATCTTTGATGACATTAATGGATAGCAAGTAAATTTAGCCATTAATTTGATAACTTTTTAATATTTGAATAGCTTTCTAACAATTAATTTGAATAGCTTTCCCCATCATTCAAGTCGATGGAAACTCTCTCCTTGATCAAAATTTTTTCTCAGGCATAATTCAAATGCAATTTTATATATTTGGTTTTTTCCATAAAAATATAAAATGTTAATCAAATTAAAGTAAGCAGTACATAGTTTCAAGCTTCTATAATATGATAGGCTAGTTGCTGACTGTTATCTTTCTGGCAGTTAGGATCTGCTCAACAAAATAATCAAAAGGCTCATATCAAGTTCAATGTAAAGGGGACTTCAAGGCTCATAATCAAAAAGTTGAAGGGAAAAGGTAAGTGTACTTTGTGTTCGGATCGAAGAACATGTCATTGTAGCTTCTACTTAGTTTTTTTTAATGTTGAAGTGTTTGGAGTCATTGTTCTTCACTCTCATACCTAACAGAAACTTGAACATCTAACTTTGGCTGATATATTCTGCGTACTAAGGCTCTTCCTCTAGAAGAATAGTCTATTTCACAATTGGTAAAGGTGCTCAGAGTTGCATTTTCCTCCCTTTCCAAGTCTTAATTCAATAGTTTGCTTTGGTTATCTGATCTTGAGGTTGTGGTCATCTCTTCTTTATTTCTGTTTATAGTTCATGCAAATAAGTATTTTGACTACTGTGCAACCTTAAATATCTTTGATGACATTAATTGATAGCAAGTAAATTTAAACATTAATTTGATAACTTTTTAATATTTGAATAGCTTTCTGACCATTAATTTGAATAGCTTTCCCCATCATTTCAAGTCAATGGAACCTCTCTCCTTGATCAAATTTTTTCTCAGGCATAATTCAAATGCAATTTTATATATTTGGTTTTTTCCATAAAAATATAAAATGTTAATCAAATTAAAGTAAACAGTACATAGTTTCAAGCTTCTATAATATGATAGGCTAGTTGCTGACTGTTATCTTTCTAGCAATTAGGATCTCCTCAACACAATAATCAAAAGGCTCATATCAAGTTCAATGTAAAGGGGACTTCAAGGCTCAGAATCAAAAAGTTGAAGGGAAAAGGTAAGTGTACTTTGTGTTTGGATCAAAGAACATGTCATTATAGCTTCTACTTAGTTTATTTTTATGTTGAAGTGCTTGGAGACATTGTTCTTCACTCTCATACCTAACAGATACTTGAACATCTAACTTTGGCTTATATATTCTGATACATGTTTCACCGATCTAAAAATTTAAATCAGCTATCACAATTTTAATATAGCAAAGGACTCAGTTGCTACTCGGGATGGTCGTAGGAAGAATAAAAGATGAAGGAGCATCAAAAGGAACTAAAGGTGAGAATGGAATTTCAGACTGAACTGGTTCCACATGAGAGGGAAGAAAGGATGGAGGAGCATCAAAAGGAAAGTGAGGTGGAAATGGTTAATCATCAACAATAGGCGCCAAAGTTGGAGACGGCAACAATGACATTACCAGTGCGACACTCAAGGAACAGGTTTTCACAACATACAGAATTGCACATGTAAACTTAATTGAGAATTGCAAAACAAGTTTTCACAACATACATAATTACTCAAGGAACAGGTTTTTCTCAAGTAATGATTACAGAACATATTCATATCTTCAATCTATTGGTTACACAATTGATATTAAATTGATCAAAACAGAATTGATATAGCAATTAATTCATAGTTTCCAGTCATCCAAGGGAAGTCCTTTGTGTTGGATTTAATCTAATAAATCCATTTGTGGGCACATATGATTAATCAATGTGTATTGCTATCCTTCAGGATAACCCACTAAAGTGATCAATTAATTTGGGTTAATGGGTATTTAAATAAGTCATGGGGTTATATGTGCAGATACCAGGTTGTAATTGTGATTTGATGAGGGGCCAAATTATAAATGTACAATATCTATAAATAAGGGGTTATGGTCCCTCATCTAGGGTTACATTCTCTAATTCTCTTCACCCCCATCTAGAGAGAAATTTGGCTAGAGAAACCCTAAGGTTAGAAGATCCAAAACCCATCTCAAGTTTCGTCTATGGATTCAGGTATAAGCTTCCGCTCTTTTGATTCTTGTTAATCTCTTCGAATTAATCAATGGTGTTATGGTTTTAGATCTCAAGTTTTTATAAGATCTAACAAGTGGTATCAGAGCCACCTTTGATTAATTCTTAGGAATTTAAGTTTTAAAATTGGGTTTTTGATCTTAAATCTCTGGTTTTTTTGGATTAAGATCTGTTCTCGGATGAACAGTAACGTTCGGATGAACAATTACTTTTTATTTTTGGATGAACGGTAAAAAATTACCGTCAACAGTAATATTTTGGATTTTTTGGATTTTCTTTGATTTTTCTTGGATCTGGATCACGAAAATTTTTCCGATTATGGATCTGGTTTTGAAAATTAAAATTGAGGAATTTTTAGGTTTGGTCTTCGGTCCCGTGCTCCTCGCCGGCGAACTTTCGCTGGCGGCCTCGCTCTCAACTCCGACGGCGACGGCGGCGTCAGGAAACCCTAGGGTTTCGACCTCTTGGGTGCCGGAGCAATGGCGGCAGCGATTTCAGTTTGAAACCTTAAGGGTTCGTGCGTGAAAACGTGGCGAACATTAAGGAGGCAGTTACCTCAGATTTTGGCGAGGCTTGAAAGCTTCAAACGAACTTCGCGTTCGTTCTAAGGTGAGGGTCGCGCTCAATTCAAAACGAACTTCGCGTTCGTTCTCAGGTTGAGCCTCGCGCTCAAATTCAAATGAACTTAGCGTTCGTTCTCAGGTGAGCCTCCCGCTCAATTCAAGTTGAGCCTCGCGCTCAGTTCTCAGGTTGAGCCTCACGCTCAATTTAAACGAACTTAGCGTTCGTTCTCAGGTGAGCCTCACGCTCAATTCAAGTTGAGCCTCGCGCTTAGTCTCAGGTAATCCTCGCGCTCAATCCAAGTTGAGCCTCGCACTTAGTTCTTAGGTGAGCCTTGCGCTCAGTTCTTAGGTGAGCCTCGCGCTCAATTCAAGTAGAACTCCGCGTTCATCCTCAGGCGAGCCCTGTGCTCAATCCAAACGAACCTCACGTTCGTTCTCAAGTTGAACTTCGCGTTCATTTTTTAAACGAACCTCGCGTTCGTTCTCAAGTTGAACCCTGTGTTCATTTTCAGTCGAACCTCGCGTTCATTTTTCAAACGAACCTCGTGTTCGTTCTCAAGTTGAACATCACGTTCATTTTCAGACGAACCTCGTGTTCGTTCTTAGGTGAGTCTTGTACTCAATACAGTCGAACCTCGTGTTCGAAGTCAAGCGAACTTCGTGTTCACTATGGTTAAGCCTCGGCTTTTCATGGGTCCACTTTGGTATACTTAATTTATTCAATTAAGTTATGGGCCCTAATTAAGCTGTGAGACCCTAATTAAGTTTTTTGAAAATTCAGTTGATTTAAATTAAAACCTTTTAATTTAAATCTAATTTGGATTTTAATCAATTATTTAATTCAAATATTATGACACTAAGGTATTAAGGTTGTCTCTCACTCCAATTGATTAATTAAAACAAAAAGTTACCAAAGTAACCTCTCTTGTGTAAATTGTTCATGAGGAATGTGAGATGTTTGTGTGTATGCTTTCGTGTAAATATTTAATCGGCCCAAAGGAAGGTTAATATTTATTTAGACTGTATACACATCTGCGATGATAAGCGTGTGACAATTATAAGGTTTACATGTGAATAATGAATCGATCCAAAGATAGTTTCATTATTTGACATGAGTTATTGTCAATGTTTGATCATTGCAACAAGGTATCACTTACAAGTTAATATTACTGTCCAAAGACTTGATATTAATGTTGTGCCGGTATCTTGGATGGGGATTGTCATTATTTGAATTTTATTGATTATGGTTATTGATGTGAGCATTCTTTTGTTTTATTTCAGCTAATGCATCTGCTGCAACAATTTCTGCTAACATCAACTCAATTCCCATGCTAAATGGGACAAACTTCAAGGTTTGGAAAGAGAACATATTAATTGTTCTTGGCTGCATGGATCTTGACTATGCATTAAGAACTGAACAACCCCAACCTCTCAATGCGGATAGCACTCCTGATGCAAAGAAGGAGCATGAGAAGTGGGAGCGTTCAAATCGCATGAGTCTTATGATCATTAAGCGCGGCGTTCCGGAAGCCTTCAGGGGCATAGAATCCGAAGGGATTACTAAGGCTAAAGATTTCCTTGCCGAAATTGAGAAGCGTTTTGCGAAAAACGATAAGGTAGAAACAAGCACGCTTTTAGCTCGCTTGATTTCAATGAAGTATAAGGGCAAAGGAAATATCAGGGAGTACATTATGGAAATGTCTCATATTGCTTCAAAGCTTAAGGCACTTAAACTCGATCTTTGTGATGAGTTATTGGTGCATCTGGTTTTGTTGTCTCTTCCTGCACAATTCAATCAGTTTAAGGTCAGTTATAACTGCCAAAAGGAGAAATTGACTCTAAATGAGCTCATTTCATACTGTGTGCAAGAAGAAGACAGGTTGAAGCAAGATAAGACAGAAAGTTCTCACTTGGCCTATGCCTCTAAGGATAAGGGCAAGAAAAGAAAGAATGATATGAAGCTGCTAAGGGTCCAGTTCAGAAGAAACAA